GTGTCCGACGTGGATTCGTGGGCTTTGGCCTTCCAAAACTGGCTGGAAGCATCTCATCCCATCGGCATGCCGATCATGATCCTGGCGCGAATCGCTCGAGCTCGGGCGTCCACGATGTAACGTGATGATTTTTCTGCAGACCTGGAAAAGCAGAGGCTGGGAGAGGAAGAAATGATGGGGAATCTGTCGGACTTCTTCTGGAGCCCTCGGGGGGCTAAGTACTTGTACAGTCTCCGTTTCTCTGGAGCCGAACCCGTCTGCGACGAGCCCCTTCCACCCATCTCCGTCCGTGCCATCCGTTCTATCGCCGACCTTTCGTCGCCGAGGTGTTTTTCGTAAACGCATTCGTTTCGTGCAGGCTTCGAGTCACGAGTTGAGACACGTGAGGATGACGAGGACGAAGGAGAAGACGGAAGCCCTCCACCGCATATATCATCTCACCGACAGCTCACCGCTCGCTCAGAATGAACGTCTGTCTCCTCTTCGTGTTTGCCTCATTCTCATTCTTTCTTAAGTTTTTCTCCACGTTGCCAACGATCGCTCTTTTCCCGGCAGAGTTCGTGGGGGCGTTTTCGCGGGAGTATGGCACGTGGGAGACGAACGGGGTCATACGATGGGAATTGTATCGAAACCTGGGTCTGGCCATGATCTGCGTCCTTGTCACCGTCCTTGTCCTCATCGCCGATGTCCTTGCCTCTTTTTATGTCCTCCTTTGCGTCCTTGTCACCCTAGTACGAAATTCTGTCACTTTCTCTTCAGATGGGGATATTAAGATGCAGATTCGTGGAGCTTGTGGGAGGAGATGTTAACAGCATCGCGACCGTCTCTGTTACATTTCCCCCCGTTACTGAGGCGCATATTAATAGTTTGGTATACATTACTTTAAAAATCAAATTAGAAAGTGGCATCTGCAAAACTCAGAGCCGTTTATTCGGACCAGAGCGTCCTACCTTCGAAAGTCAGACCTCAGTCAAAACTGAACGTTCATCAATTCCTGAGGCACATTTTTAGGAGCGTTTAGAGAAGCCAAAAGTCGACCCTTGTTACATAAATCTTGTGGCAAGGACATTGCCAATCCCAAGAATTGCATATCCTGTACGAAATCATGGCAGCAAAAAAGAATAGACGCGGAACAGGGAAGGTACGTGCTCAAAAGTGAGTCCAGTTTCCAGTCAGTTTTGTTTATCGACAGGACGTGTTCCACCCAAATATATTTTGCAACATATTACATATATTGATACTTGATGTACCGGGGATTAAAATTATGTACATATTGTGTATATGAAATACTCTACAATATGTAGATTATTTGTATGAAATAAGTTTCAAAATTTACCTATTTTTGGTGTTACAAATCATGTCGATAAATAAAATTGACGCATTCTGTAACAGGAATTAACACGTTTTCAAGTGAAGTTACCAACGCCAACTCGATCCTACTTCTTCCTCTTATCCATCTGTTCGGTTCCGGGAAAAAAAGTATGTCAAGTATAAAAATCCTGCTTTTAAGTTTCACTTGTACGTTAACGATGAAATCGGCGGTACTTAAAAAAAAACTTTCACTGGTTTCTTGTAATCATCCAAGTCGTTTTGCAAAACGGACGTTAGCATTTGGAAGGGAAAAAAATTACATGATGACCATACTGAATAATTCAATCTTGAAAGCCCACATGATACCACATGAAGCCTCTGATGCAATCGGTTCGAATCGTTGCGTTAAAATTGTCCTCCATTCGTGTAAGCGTTCTTCATGTGAATGTTCTGAACGGATAGGTGGACCTGTTGGGGCTGATGTACTGGTGGGGGCTAACGATAGACACGGTGTCGTGCGTGATCGTGGTGCTTGCCATCGGCCTC